CTGTGTCTGGGGAAGAGGTCAGCATCCCTGGGTGTTGGGGAAGAAGACAGGGTCTCACTGTGTCTGGGGAAGAGGTCAGCATACCTGGGTGTTGGGGAAGAAGACAGAATGTGTAACATTGACAATCCTCTTGCCTTGCAGTGGCCTGATCGTCCCTGAGCGTTACTCCAATGAGACTGTGCCAGAGGTGGTGTCCAAGTCTGGATTTGCTCTGTTGCATTTCTTCAGTGATGCGGCCTACAACCTCACTGGCTTCAACATCTCCTACAGGTAGGGCTGCCCATCTCTGCATGCCCACACGCTACACACACAAGTACCACTCACCTCAGTAACTAGGGGGTCCTTGTCTGCACACTGCCTTCCCATACATTTCTGGACATGTTACACTATCAGCGTTTTCTTATAAAGGTACAAAGCTCCTTTGTGCTCAAATTTGTTGTAAAATCCATTGCTTATTTGTGATTTCTTTTAAAGTCTCAGGAAAGTGGTATCAGTCTTGTTGATGGAGTGTAGAAGTGCATTTAAAACTAGAAACAGGAGCCACGTCTTTGCCTTAAGCAGGTAGTCCAGAAAAAGCTTCCCAACCATGGTGTTGTAGCCAATATCCTAGTTTCTTTAAAAAAATGTCAGGGAGAGATCCCCAGATCAGTTTGTGAGGGTAGAGTCTGTTGTGCGTGAGAAGCATTGAAGGGGGGTCTTGGTTTATGTTCAGTTTCAACAGGGACACTGGTATTCAGATCTTTATTTTGTTCAATAACAATCTTTTAAACAGTAGCTTGAAATAGCAAAGACATGACAGTTTTTTTTTTGCGATCTAAGTAACAGGGTTTCATGGTTGGTTTTTGAACAGTTGGTTTCATAAGTAAGCTGCCTCTCTCTTGGTTGTGTGCTGTCTCTGTTCAGGGTACTGTCTGTGTAAGAACTTTAGGAATCCTTTTGGGCGGTAGTTGCCAAGAAGACATTTAGTTTCATAGTAAGAATTATCATTGTTGTTCATTTGGTTTCTTAGTCTCTCATTGTGGGTGAACTAGATTTTTTTTGTATGTCTTGAGGCACCATGGTTTTAATCCAGAGTCATTCCAGGTCTTTCTACAGAGTCAAAAGGAGATAGAATGATTTTTCTCTTTCTTTTGGTATGAACCAACTAACAGGAATGCCATCGTCTTGTTTATAGCCTCTTTTATGTACAAAATCTTGTTTTTCCCCGCCAGACAGACATAAACTTTGTTTGCATCTGTGCTTTTGGAGCGTTTCAGACAAGCAGTCCAAGAACTGGTGTACTGTAGACGTGAGTGTCTCTTGTATTTGAAACTATGGCCTCCGGTAAAGAAAAAAGCTTCTAGTCTGATCAGAGTAACCATCAGTTATGTCTGCACTGCATCCTTAACATTTGAATAAACAGAAAGTCTGGGGCGGTGACATCCGCTTTGATAATTGGTTGGCTTTGCTGGTGCAGTGTGTCAGGAACGGGACAGGCCCGAGCGCTGGTGTCTAACTGCCTCTCCAGCATGGCAGTGTCCCCGTGTCTGTCTGGCAATAATCTTAGCAGCAGCTATATTTTCCTGCAGTTCACCACCAGCATCCCACTGAAGCTCAGCAGGCACGAGCCTGGACAGTACCTGCAGGGGAGACTAAGGCTGCTGCTGGAAGAGGTGTTAGTGTCTGTGTGGCTTGCAGTCTGTGTGGCTTCTTATGCCCCAGTATAGTGATGGGGACACTAGAGTGTAAAAAGGTACCGTCCTTCAGATGAGACGTAAAAAAGATGTTCTGAATCTCCGCGGTCATTAAAATCGCCAGTGGTAGGAGTGTTACCCTTTATCACTCTGTTCTCCTCCCCACTGATAACTGAGTGTACGGACACACTGGTGGTGAGGATCCCAGTTACCTGTAAAGCTCTTTGAGAAGAATAATCTTTATCATTAACCTTTGCCTTTCATCTGCTCTTGTATGAGACAGCTTCATTCTGAGCTTGATTCCTGCTGTTCCTGCTGACTGATTTGCCCCCTTTCCTCTGCATCCAGAATCAACGCCTGCCCCAATAACTGCTCTGGGCATGGGGTCTGCCATGCGGACTCGGGGGGCGTGGGGGTGTCCTGCCAGTGTGCGGAGCACTGGAAGGGCGAGGCCTGCGATGTGCCCTACTGCCAGCAGGACTGCGGCTTCCCCAAGCGTGGCGCCTGCCAGCCCAACAGCACCAGGGGCTGCCTGTGCCACGCCGACTGGCAAGGTGGGCATTGAGTGTGGCGTCTACACAGCACACCGCTGCTAGAGGAGCAGGCTTCCAGCTGGTACCTGCTGCTCAGGTCAACGATACTGTTCATGAATGAAACAATCGAGTGTTTTGTTGATGGTCTTTCACAAGATTGTTTTAGTGAAGATGTCTTTCGTTACAATACTGATTTGTAGCCACATCATGTAGGATGCAGCGTTGTTCAGGTTGAGCTGAACATTGCAGTTCACACCGTGTTCAGTTTCTTCATCAGCAAGGTGCCCTCTGTGCCCCTTGCTGATGAAGAAACAGCCTTCCTCTCCCACACTGCCTTGCCTCTCCCACACTGCCATGTCACAGGAAGGGTACGGGGAAGGTGCATTGTTTTTTCCTGTTGCTCTTCATTCGGCTTTTAGTAAATAAATGCATCCCTAAACTGACGAGTCGTCTTTTTCAAGTATGAAAAGGGCTTTTTAATGCAGGTTTGGTGCTGCGAGTTGAAACAGTGTTAGTTTTGAGTAAGCCGCTCCGCAGGACTGTGCTGAGAACAGTCTCTTGGGTCCCCCCGCACGGCTATGCTGGACCCTGGTTCAGGGTCACCTCCCGTGTGGACTGACGTTGTTTTGATCACGGGGCAGACCTGACCGAAAACTCAAGGAGGGACAACAGGGACGTGCCAGTGAAAGAAATGTGGAATTAGAAACTGAAGATGCTAAAGTGCTGATTTTGTTTTTGAGGTTTGAGTGTTTTAATATAATATTCAGCTGGGGCTTTCTTATTACAGTGGGTCTCTCATCACTACAGCCTTGTGCTCTGGTGCTCATGAGGAGTTGCTGCAGACATATTGCAGGCATGATGCTTACATTAAGGCCGAGTCGCCATGTGACCCATTTCACCTGTCAGAACCGATGTGCCGGATGCAGAAAATCGATCGGGCCTCATTAGTATGTGAGCTTGCTTTAAAGGCAAAAATCAGAGCTGCGTGTGCTGGGGTGGGCGGCGGTAATCTGAGCGTCTTGCTCTCTGCAGGTCCAGACTGCTCCGTCCCCAAGCCGGCCAACCAGTCCTTCTGGCGGCGCGAGGAGCACGCGGTGCGCAGCCTGGCCCGTGCCTCGCACAAGGCTGCGGTGGACGGCGGCGTCATGTGGGTGATTGGGGGATACATGTTCAACTACTCGGACTATGAGATGGTGAAAGCGTGAGTACTGCTCCGGCCTGCTTCTCGCACAGACGCGGCAGTCCGCTGGCTCTGTGTCCCTCTGCGGCGGCGCCTCTGCGATTTAACAGCCCGCTCAAGCAGTGTGGTGTGAGAGGAAACACATAGGCAAGCACACCAAGACAACACTTAACATGCAATACAGAGAGCAGTCACTTAGTTGTGTTTTAAGTGATGTGTGGATCTGAGTTTATGCAGGTAGAACCTGCTGGTGACCTTCTGTTTCACCACAAAAAAGGAAGAATCAGCTGACAAAAAGAATCTGCATCTGGGCCGGCAGAGGAATCCTACTCCGTTGGGCCCCTGAGCAAGGCCCTTAACCCCAACTGCTCCAGGGGCGCCGTACAATGGCAGACCCTGCGCTCTGACCCTAAGCTTCTCTCCCTGTCTCTGTGTCTGTGTCTCCCTGGAGAAAAAAAAGCTGGGGTATGCGAAAAGACGCATTCCTAATGCAAGAAATTGTATAGGGCTAATAAAGAAACATTATACATTATTATACTGGTCACTGGTCACTGGTCTCCGGTGGCCGGGACGGGCCTTGGGGCTCTCGGTACTGTCGTATGTGCGGGCTTGCTTGCAGGAGAATCCAAACAGCGCGCCAGCAGGTTAACAGGCCCATGCAGTGGAATAGTACTGAGGGTCCCGCTGTGCTGCGCTGGGGCTGGGCCCACTAACAGCTGCTCCTCTTTCCCGACAGGTACAACCTGAGCTCTCAGGAGTGGCTGCCCCTGAACCAGACGGTGAACTCTGTCACGGGGAGATACGGCCATTCCTTGGCCTTGTACAAGGTACTGACCGCCCTGGCTTTCTGTGGGGTACCGGGCAGCTTCCTGGACACGACAACAGGGGTGTTACTGCTATGCTTTTGTGCCATTTTTATAGGAGTCATAACTGCTGCTGCTGCTTATGATGATGATTACCATTTCTTCCTTTATCCTGAATTATGTCTCCTGTATAATGATGACCTGGCTGAGAGGCTTTATACCAGTCTAGCACAGAAGACAAACATAGATAGAACAATCGATAAAATGTAAATAAGTACCAGCGGTGCGCAGTGTTGGCAAGGGAAAGTGTCCGGCAGAAAAGATTTAATAACACAGCTGAATACAGAGTGTTTTGGCTCCCTCTGGAGATGGGAAAGTGAAATGATTTGATATTTTTACAGATAATTAAATGAATGGTAGTGGAGATGTGTTGGTATGTGTAGAGAAAACTGCCTCTGGGTTACAAAACCACGATAGTAGAACTCCCTTGGATCCTACAGATTTGGAGTCATGAAAGACTGGTTATTCTTTGAAAATATTAGCCTGAACTGATATTTCAACAGTATTGTATGTGAACAAAACATGAAGTTTTAGACTTTTTTTTTGTAGGTTGTACTTTGCTTCAGTTAGTTGAATTAGCACATATGACAGTGCCTTGAGATGATGTCATCATTGGTGGTCACTCGGGTTTGAGTACGATGGACCTCCAAGGGGAGATGGGTCCTGCTTGTGGGTCAGATTGGGGAGAAGGCCGGGATCTGTAGGCCTTGCTGCAGCGTGCACCCGGCCCGTGTGATGATCCTCCTTGGCATTTAATCGCTCATCATCCTCTACCTGGCAAAGATCTCATCATCGTCTACCTGGCAAAGGTCTCTTTTGGATGGTTTTCTGCCACATGGTCCCATATGCAGTGTCCTCCCAGTTGGTATTGATGTGGTGCTTCTTAATGTTGACTCTGTCGTTTTCAGACTGCTGTTTCTGTCCCCAGGGGCCTGCTGTGCTTTCTCACTTGGAGACTGCGGGAGCTGTTCTGCCCGTCCTGCTCGTTTGGGAGTTAGAAGTGAACTGGTCAGGGTCACGTCAGGGTATCTGCTTCAACAACATGGCTGGTAGCTCGTTCCAGACTCCCACATCCCTTTGCGTAAAGTTTAGTTTCCACCTGTGTCCTCTGGCTGGTGTTCCTGGGAAGTGCAGGACTGCCGCTCGGGAGGATGCCGTTGCCGGTGCATCCAAGTTTAATAGAGACAGTGGTGGCGACGCTGCTAATGTCGGCCTCCTCCAGCCCACTGGAGGCTGTGCACCTGTTTGCCCAGTGGGTCCTCAAGGTTTTACAGAGGTGTGGTTCTGAGCCTTTAAGGCTGCTCCTGGTCTTGCTCTTCATGTTGGACAGCAGGGTGGGGAACAGAAGGCTTTGTGTTTTGGTCCGATATCACAATCCACGCAAACTCTCTTCCTCGGACTGGCAAATTGCAATGATTGTGTATCCTGAAAGGTGTTACATTAAATATATAATTCAAAGCGATATAGTTCAATGTAATTGTGCATGTTAGAGCTGGAAGCATGCAAGATTTTTTTAGTTGATCTTTGGTCCCAGCAGAAACATATTTCCAAAAAGAGAAGAGCACATGGATCTTGAAGTTCCTCCTAGTTAGAGATTATCTCTGTGCCTTCAGTTAGAGGGAACTTTGGGATGTGCTGACACGATCAAGGGATGTCTGGCGTACTGCGTGTCCACCTGCTTGTCTGTATTCTAGCTTAAGGCCCAGGTGAGAAGAACAGGACTCAATTCTATAGACAGAGTTGGAAGTGTTCTTTTCTCACGTTACGGATTCTGATTTGGCTGATTATTTTAAAGATCCACTTCTCTTGTTGTGTGTAGCTGTTCTTGTTCATTGTGAACTGTTGAGGTGTGTCACTCAGTCTCTCCAGGCACTGAAACACTTGAGTGTCCGAGGTCAGGGAGGATGTGGGTTAGTGTTAGTTTTACAGTGTCTGCCAGTGCTAGTGATGTTTACTGTAGCTTTAACTGGCAAGGAATGAATGAGAAACCAAAGAGTGAAACCCTCACAGATATATTTCTGTGGAGCAGGGAGGAGCCTGGATCATGGCGAAAGGTCCATTTCTTTTACTGCAGTCGAGAGATTTCTCAGGGTTTGGTCTGAGATAAGAGATAATGCTGCCAGAGGTGGCAGAGACACTCCTGTTTGTCAAGGCTCTGACTCAGGACTAGAGGGCTGGGGTTTCAGATCCAGGGCGTGACGCTTCTGTTGTGATTCTTTGCCCCTATCGCTCTTGTTACACACCCTGCTGCAGAGGCGTTGGTAAAGGAGAATTTGTTCTACTTTGTCTTGCATTGTTAAGTAAAAGATGTATAACATTAACTACCTTTTCACTTTACTGTTCAACTGTGTCATTTCCTGCATGTGCTGTTTAATTTTACCCATGTAAGATGATGGATCCCATTACTTATTTTAATTGCTTTGGAGACCCTGCTTGTTAACTAATCGACTGCAGTTCCCTTGGCAACTCAGAGCCGCTGACTCTTCAACAGCAGTGACCTCAGCACCCCAGGAGAGAGGTGTGGCTCGTGTGTGCTTGGCCTAGGTGTGCTCTGGTGTTGATGGCCTCTCTGTGGTTCTGTCCCCTGTGCAGAATAAGATCTACATGTATGGTGGGAAGATCGACTCCACAGGGAACATCACCAACCAGCTGTGGGTGTTCCACGTGCGGAACCAGTCCTGGGTGCTGCTGAGCCCCCGAGCCAAGGAGCAGTACGCTGTGGTGGGGCACTCTGCCCATGTGGTGCAGCTGGCGCAGGACCAGGCAGTGATGCTGGTCATCTTCGGACACTGCCCGCTGTACGGCTACATCAGCAAGGTGCAGGAGTACAGCATCGGTAAGGGAGGTCAGCTTGCATGCATGATGTGCTTCTGTCCCATGGGCAAAGCCTGGTGGGAGCATTACAGGTGACAAACGAGAGAAGCCCATTCCTCCACCTTGCTCCACAGGTAGTCAGTGGCCTGGCTTGAACCCCATGGTTGGGCAGATTGTTTTATACGGCCGTTGAGTGACGAAGCGCCTCCCCGGTTTTAAACACTTCCTTGTACGCTTGTGCCCTCTAATGTGTGTGTCTTTGAGTCTAGAGAAGCTCACACTTAAGGACATTGCCTTAAGTCCCGGGTGCTCTTCTCTAGACTGATTCTAGAGCAGCAGTATATTTTTTTATGTAACCATAATTGTGCAGAGCACTCCACTCTAATAATAATAAATAATAATTGCTTACACTTACATAGCGCTCTTCTGGACACTCCACTCAAAAACGCTTTACAGGTAATGGGGCTCTAAAAACCTGTCTTACCAGTGCATAGGGCAGTTTAAACAATCTTCTTATATAAAGTCTGTGCTTTTAACTAACTTTTTATTGGACTTTTTGGACTTCCCACATTGCCCAGAGGACGTAAGTGATGTATGAACATAAACACCTAGATTATGTAACTTCTTCCATCAGTGTTTCCCATTTTGTGTTTAAAGTTCGCTTTTCCTACTTATGTGTAATCCTCTACACTTGTCTACATTTTGCATAACCAGACAGGTATTTGCCTACTGTAGAACTCTAAAATCTAAATATTTTGAATATTTTGCTACTTCTCGGCATCTATCAGGAAAGGTATTTTACTAGCTATATCAGAGTCTAGATGATCTAAAACTGAGACTACAGATCTACAAGAGTCACAGAGCTGACAGCCTTGTGAGATGCTTCAGCAAAATAACTAATCATCATAACACAAGCCCTTTTCTTAATAACCATTTATATATAATGGGTTATGGGTTTATTTCTTTTGGTTTTGTGCATATATGATGTTGAGGTTGAATGAACGTCCAGTTTAATAAACCAGTACATTTCCAGGCAGAGATGAGTTTTACAGTGATCTGCTGTTTGGGACCAGTCTTCATGCTTGTGTGACAGTGCTCTGGTACCCGTCTTCAAGCATTCCTTTCCTTGACGTATTACACAGGACTTTATTGGATTTTCAGAACTATTAGAAGGGTGGTAATATTTTATTGCAGCTTAGTAGAGGAGAGGAGTTTAGTGCTTTTTGTACATTGTACAACACACGCCAACGCTGATCTCTCAGGACATACAGTACAGCAGACCACATCACACGATGAACACAGTACATTACAAACATAACAAATAATAACAACGGGAACGTGAAATGTGCTGTGGGACAATAAACTTATCCTACAAGCAACATCCAGGTGGGGCTACACACTGGTGGAGGGGAGTCTCCATTACCTGTAAAGTGCTTTGAGTGGAGTATACAGAAATGTGCTATATAAGTGTAAGGAATTTTTATTAATTATTATTATAGCCTCCTGGTGTTCTTCACCTTTCTCCTTGAGCTCTGTTGTGTACCTGGTTAAAATGTTTAGATGAGTGCTACAGGAATCATAGTGTATTGATGAAAGATATAATCGTTCCCTTTGGATGCATTTTGCTTAATGCCTATAGGCTTTAAGAGAAGGACCAAAAACATTTCATTTCTATGTACTGTATGTGTACATAGCAAAAAAGACGTGCATATACATGAAGTTTAGCATTACAAATAAGGGTTTAAAAGGTGTTTGCCCACACAGCATGTGGGAGTCCCTGTACATTGGTCTGTGTGCTCATTCTTTTAGCTGCTGAGTGTGGAAATAAACACCAGCTAATCAGGCCTCTTGAACTGATTTAATCTATGACTTCTAGCTGCCACAGCACCTGCTTTATGAGAACTGAAACCTTCAGATGGAAACTCTGGGAATATTCATCGGCGTTTCCCTGGTTTATACAGTACATACCACTGCCATGTCAAAATGTTGTGAAATTTTCCAAATGTAAGCTCATTTTGTGCTCTAAATGTGTAATCGGCCTTCTGCACGGCTTAAGAGCGCTTATATGGCATGTCTCTTTGCATCTTTCACTTCAGTCCTGATGTTTAGAACTACCAGACATTTCTCTTTCTCACATAGACCATGAATTTGTATTGCAGCTCTGCACTTACTCAGGAAGCTGTAGTACCCATCGGTTATGGTATTGGGCTTATTGTGATCCCTCAACTGCTGCAGTGTCAGTCACAGGACAGAACAGAGCAGGATGTACAGCTCAGGTCCCGAGAGTCTGTGAATGAGGGCCTTGAAGTTTACAGACTTCTCAGTTTAACCAAAGGAGTAGAGAGCCTCAATTTGTACCCCACATCTGTGCATGGGAAGCTCTCACAAGCTCTTTCAAGTAGTAGTGAAGTATCTGAAACACTCTCAGCAGAATATGAAACTCACAATTAAAATTGTTTTGCTGACCTTAATTGTTTGTTTTAATGGAAAGTATGGTTGGTACAGTATATGACTGCCAACTAGTGCTTTTCCAAAGTAAAGGCAAAGCAGCCACAAAACTGACTTGTAGGTGAGTGTTTCCTAGACCTCACAGACTGTTATCAGTGGCATTGCTGAAGGGGAATTTTACTAAAAAGGACAGCATAGTCACTTTACTCCAGTTTTTTAAAGTTTTAAATCACAATCTGGAATGGCTGCTCGTTGTTAAATGTTAACAAGCAAAGTACAATGGCTTAACTGTAACTGATCCCCCTGTAATCGCATTCAACTCACCCTTGCAGCTAATTGTGGAAATTCGCAGTGTGACATCAACAACATCTGAAGAATGTAAGAAAGAGAGGAGCTCATTCCAGCCCGTTTGGTAGTTAATAGATAACTGATCTCACTGATCCCAGTATCTCATCCAGCCATTTCTTGCCAAAGAAGGGTATCGGTTTCCACATGGCTCACTGGTTCAGAATCCAGCAACCTGCTTGGACATTGTGGGCCTAGTATCTTGCAGCTTGTGGAACAGCACTGACAGATCCAGTAATCATGGTAGAAAATGCCCTGTGACCAGAGCTTTTTGCGAAGGCTGCTACTTGATCTGTAGGACACCAGTGTGTATATTATGTATAACTCAGATCTTCCTGAAGTCACATTGCACAACAGTCTGCCATTGTTCGCTGTTCTGTCTCCATGGTGAAAGCCCATGTTTTAGATGAGAAACGTTTTGCCTTCTGTCTTCTTCAGCTACCAACACCTGGAGGATTGTGAAAACCAGTGGGGCCCTTGTGCAGGGGGGGTATGGCCACAGCAGTGTCTACGACCCCAAGACCAGAGCCATCTACATCCACGGTGGCTACAAGGCCTTCAGCGCCAACAAGTATGGGCTCGCGGACGACTTGTACAAGTACGAGGTGGACACCAGCATGTGGTGAGTAGGCCCGGCTCTGCGAATCTGCAGGGGGCTGTCGCGTCTCTGCTCTGCTCCTTAGTGAAGCACAGCTGCCTAGCTGGGGTGCGGCATGGCGCCAGTTGTGTTAAAGGCAAGCTACAAGGAGTAGCATCACATCTCTGGTGTCCTTCATGAACACCTCCTTTTTAGAACTGACTTGTCTTCTGGTTGAGATCTCTGCGTGCTGCGAGTGTAGTGCCTGCTGTGCCCCTAAACTGCAGGGTCACCTCTTCCCTATTGGGAGTTTTTGAAGAGAGAGAAGCCTGCAGAGAGGGGCAGGACTTCATGTTTTTGTTTAAACAGCCTTCATTGAGGACATTTTAATCTAATAACCTTTGTGATATTATCTTTAGTGAGCTGGTTCTTGTAGTTTGAGCACTGCTCCCAGCTTGGCGATTGATTAATATACCAGGAATCGATTTATAATGCCAATGAGCCAAGAGCCCTGAAGTCATTGAGACAGGACTCTGATTGCTCTTCAGCACTTGCCTTTGGGGTAGAAGTTCACAGTTTAATAAAGGATCTGGACCAGTCTGATGCATAACATTCCCACCCACCTGCTGTTTGTAATTAGCGGTTGTTTGGGCTTGCATCCATCCCCCTGTACAGAGCACTGCTTGTGCACAGAGCTTGACTGCTACCAGCTACAGCAACCAGTAAATCTCACCTCCTAAAGTCAGGGATTGCCATTATTATGTGGCATGTAGTAATAATAATAATAATAATAATAATTGCTTACATTTATATAGTGCTTTTCTGGACACTCCACTCAAAGTGCTTTACAGGTAATGGGGAATCCCCTCCACCACCACCAGTGTGCAGCATCCACCTGGATGATGCGATGGCAGACAGTGCACCAGTACACTCCCCGCACACCAGCTCTCAGTGGGGAGGAGAGCAGAGTGATGAAGCCAGTCGTATAGTTTGACACGCTCTAGGACAGAAAAGGCAGCGAGATTCAGCAACTGCAGTCGTTAAATTTGTCACGCTCTCCAACTAGAAGTTGTCGAGTCCTGTAGTGTGACAAAGGCTTAATTGCTTCCTTTAATACTGAATGGAGTAGATACTTTGTTTTTTCTCAACTGAATGCAAGAAGGGATTAAACAATGTTTTTTGGTAATTTATGTATCTCTGAAGCAAAGCTGAAGTTAGGCTTTAGTTTTAACTTGGTAATATATGATAGTAGCTTCATGTGGTTTTTGAACTTCAGGCACAAGTCAAGTCTTAACATCATAAACTAAAATGATCATGTCTCAGTATTTACATGCAGTAATACCAGGTTGCATTTTCTGTATCATGCTGTTGATTGAGTTACCTGTGGAGTTGTCCAGCATCAGACAATGGCACTCTCTATCCCTGTCCACTTTCACTGCTGGTGCATTTTGGTGACTTTGATCTGTCATGTGTGTCTATGCTGCTGTATGATTAGCTGGATGCTAGAGTACTTCTGTCTTAATATTACGTTGGTGCCTTTCCCCATTTCCAGGCACACAGGCTGTACTCTCCTGACTGTGACTGAAGTGGTCATCACCTCACAGGATCAGCCTGCTTGGATGATTAACACAGAGCTGCTATCATACAAGCTCATTCTGCTCAGCATTTTACCCCAGTTGCTAATGCAGAAATGTGTTCATCTCGTGCATGTCTCAGTGTCGTTATATTAGAGTTCAAGCAAGCCTGCATTGCGATTCGTTCACTGAATCTTGCAAGTATAGGATTTCTCTCTCTGGCCTTGAGCTGAGAGTGTGTGGAAGAGTGCAGAGTCCTCTGGCAGTCCTCAGAGCCGGAATGACACTGTCCCATTGTGTGGTCGTCAGGTGCAGGTGTGGGATGTTTCCTCTTCCCGGTGGGGCACTATTACAATGACAGTGTTGTTCCCAGGACCTGAAGCTCTCACTCGTTTCAGCAGGAGAAGGATAATCTCCAGACTGGCTCTCAAGAGCATTTGCAAATTTAACAGCAGGTTATTGGGAGATGACGGGTAGACCTGCCTGTTGAAAGCCATGTCACTGGAATGTCTTGAGCTCAGCTTCACAGGAGGAGCTCCTTTAGGCGGAAGAAGCGCGCAGGAGTTTCCTGTGTCTGACATGGCGTTCCCCAGTCGCCTCCTGCCCCTTGCACCCACAGCAGTGGTGAAGATATGGTGCTGTTGTCGTTCCAGGACCATCCTGAAGGACAGTGGCTTTTTCCGCTACCTGCACACGGCGGTCATCGTGAGCGGCTCCATGCTGGTGTTCGGCGGAAACACTCACAACGACACTTCCATGAGCCATGGCGCCAAGTGCTTCTCCTCCGACTTCATGGCCTACGACCTCGGTGAGTCTGCCTGCAGACCGCGGGTTTTCCCAGAGACTGCGCGGGTGGTATCTTCGCACAACATGCTTTTTAGACTATGCTGATACTGGGCTCTTCTTGATATCTCTTCAAAGTTTATTGAAAGGGCACTTGTCCTTCCAAGTGGTAGTAAAGATGTTGTGATAAGATTTTATTGTCCCCTGAGGGAAATTTTTATGGACACATAACACTGTACATTTAAATAGAATGCAAACAAAAAAAAAAGAAGAAAAAAACATTTCACATTATTCTATTACAAACAATAAGAAAAACATTGCACATGTTCTAATGAGTTAAAAAAAGAAATGGGGGGTAATAGTGCTTAAGTCTGGAACTTTGCTGGAATCTCCTTTCCTCTGAGTTTTGGGTATGTGAAAATAAGAAACTTGTCCATGGGACAGGCCCTCTTCCATCAGCGCTCATGTAGTCTTTGTAGCTGTATGCGTGGTGGTACGACTTCCAGAGTGGGCAGGCTGTGATTTACACAGATAGATCTGAGCACAGCTGTATTTGTGGTTGTTGTGGGTGCTGTGCCCCACAGTGGGCAGACTGTGTGGGGTGTGGACTGGCCAGTGGAGGGGTCGCCTTCCATTCTTGCTGTTCGTCAGCCCAGTTGATTGATTAATTGAATATTATGAATACCAGCAGTTACTGGCTGTTAATCAGATTTGATGTGCAGATGGTGTTTTTCACAATTTCCTTTTGAAAGAAAACAATGACACAGTTTCTAGTGTTTGTGTTTGATCTGGTTAGGATTTTATAAAATAGCCTTTTCTCGTTGTTTTCATTAAATCTTTTACTCTTAGTCTCGCTGCCAGTCAGTACACCAGACTGCATTTCTTTCAGTAGATCCACAGAGCGCAGGCAGTAGTAGCCAGAATGTTGCTCCCTATGCATCTTAAGCTTTTGAGAGACTTGGGGACTTGCCTGATCATCTTCATTCCCCCAATTGCTGCACGCGAGTGTGGGTGGGGTTAGTGGTCTCTCAGCGACACTGTGCTCTCTGTGGTATTTGCAGGCTTGTGGTGCTGTTGGTGAGAGATGTGCCTCTGCTCGAATCAGCACTGAGCCTCCAGCACGGGCTGTTTCCTGTGATGCATGGGTGGAAGGTGGGTGGGTCAGAGGGGTCTGCCTGCATCTCGTCAGTCTCCGCTCTGTGCGTTCCTGGGGTTCGTGGCCATGAGCCAAGACATGCAGAAAACACACCCCCTTTCTGCATCGAGTCGAAATATAGCCGAACCTTTATTTCTTACTTAATAAATTCTCAAAATATAACCCCAAAGATTTAACAACCGGTGAAACACGAGCCAGAAGGCACAAGTGGAAACTGTGGATGGCAGTATTTAAAATAGTTTTGTTAAAAAAAAACATCTTTTAGTGGTCATTTTTTCAGCCATCATCAATGGACGTTTTCTGATTGGCGTCACGTTCTACTGCGAGACAAACTGCCCGAGCCATTTCAACAGACGATTGTAATTAGCTGGAGAGCGTTTCCTTATTGCACTCCGTCTGTTTAGGGTGTGAAAAGCACAGAATTAAAAGTGGCTCTGCAGTTCACTCCTGTTCTTTGGGCTCTGCAATAAAACTGATTAAATTGTTCTCTAATTACTCTAAAAATCTGAGCTGGCTGGGGGGCTAATTGGTAGTCTATAATAGTTTCAGCTCTATTAAGCAGGAGAATTACAGGGTAATTAATTCTCTGACATTGTAATGACCTGACAGGAGTCAGACCTGAATGCCCTTCGCAGTTGCTGCCAGCAGAGGGCAGAGTTGGAACACAGATCACAGGGAAGCCTGCTGTTCGAAGCCGGTCTCTTGCACGTAACCAGCAGAGTAACACCTGTTTCCATTTATAGACAAAGAGGAGCTTTATGTTGAAAAAACATCTTGGGCATTCTTTCACAACTTAAATGAAAAGTTTTATTTTTCTAAGAACTTTACCTGAATGTGAAGGTCAAGTCCAGCCCTCGTCCTGTGAAGGGTGGAAGCTGTTGAAGCAGCTGTTTGCCGTGTTTAATACGGTGACTGGGCGATGCCTCGGTTCATGTGCTTTCCCAGTATTCGTAACTGGGGTGGATGATAAGAATAATAATCTGAACACTGTTTATTTCAAGCAATTCTAGACGTCTGTTAGAGAAATTCGGAGAAACGAGCAGCTTGGACTTCAAAGCCTGAGACCCTGGAGTCCTTTTTAAGAGAAACCTGATTGCAGAATGGGAGCCCCAGTCCAGGCTGGAGCTGCTGCCCTCTAATGATCCCCCGAGCCCAGAATGTCCCCCAGCGCCTGTGACAGTGACTGGGGAGGACTCGTGGGCTGGTCAGCCTCCTCCTCTGGCAGTGACTGGGGAGGACTCTTGTTCAGCCTCCTCCTGTGGCAGTGTGCTTCTCCTTACCAAGGTGTGACCGGAGTCCTGTCAGTATGCAAGACAAAATCAATTTATTGGCCACGTACGATTTCTTGAATTAGGAATTTGTCTTTTTGCATACCCCAGCTAGCTCTCCATGAGACACACAGACAAGGAGAGAAGCTGTGGGTCAGGGCGCAGGGTCAAGGCCATTTATACGGCGCCCCTGGAGCAGTTGGGGTGAATGGCCTTGCTCAGGGGCCCAACGGAGTAGGATTTCTCTGCCAGCTGCGGGATTTGAACTGGCAAACCTTCCAGCCACAGGCGCAGATCCTTAAACACAGAGCCACTGCTCTGCCCATAAAAGCTACCTATCTCCCCTTCGGAGAATCGAACCCCAGTCTCCTGTGTGACAGGCGGGAATACTCACCACTATACTAATGAGGAGCTCTGTGTCTTGTGGCCTCGGCTTGGCTGACTCACCTCTTGTTTAGCAGGGTGTGAAGATGGTATACCACCAAGTTCAGGTCTGCCTAAGGTCTCTCTGGGATCAGGGGCTTTATCACATAACTCCTTCCGGCTCTTGCCTTCCTTCCCTGCTTCTGCTGCTGGATTCACAGTCTGCCTCCTCTCTAGACTCCCGTGGTAGTCCTCTCAGACTGATCTCTCAGGACCCTTGCATGAAACTGATGGATGTTTTTGTCTTTCCCTTGCTGAGTTAGTTTTCATCAGTGTTTGGGAAGAGCGCAGGCTCTGTCATTTGCATGCGGTGAATGTTGTTGACACTGCTTGCTGAGTTCTGAGGGCTGTACAGCACACTGCTGAGTGAAGCTCAGGTGGAAAATGGCATGTGACAGGTAAGACAGGGCTCTGGCTTGCACACAGGGAAGTTTCTAATGCAGAAGAAGTGTCTTGGATTTTGTGGTTGTGAATTGTGTCGAGTAGACACCAAGGGTGTCACTGTACCATACATCAGCTGGTATATCTGCATATCCATCAGGGTGTTGGGTTTTGCCTATCATGTCGATAGACATTATGTTCTTCTTAAAAGAAGAATGAAGAAACTAGGGGGGAAAACCTTTAATCAGCCATCTTTACCATTTCTTGCTGTGAAATGTTTGAAACAAGAAGTGTAAAATTCAATTTCCCTTTGGGATCGATAAAGTCTTATCTATCTAAAAGTATGGCTCTTTCTCCTGCTGGCGATGATCACATGCTGGTGCCTACTGGCATCCGTGCTGCCGGCCTAGTGTGAGAAACACCTGTTGCTGCAGTCCACTCGCTCGGCTTAGAGAATGACCCCTCCCTGTGTGGGCTGCCCGGCTTACGCCTGCCCTGTTTTTCTCCTCCCAGCCTGTGACGAGTGGTCCGTGCTGCCCCGACCGGACCTGCACCATGACGTTAACCGTTTCGGACACTCGGCCGTCTACAGCAGCAGGTAGGGCTGCAACACAGTGGGGCCCTCCATCACAGACTTGGGGGACATCAACTCAGTGTAGCAAAGGGCCCAAAGAAGTGCCATTGAACCTCCTAATCGGTCGTGCTGCGTTTTTGCTGTTAGCGGTGAGGTGAGAATGAAGGAGCTGGGCTACCCTGCGTACCGAATGTGTGATAAGAGGTGACTCCCTTCCTCCCTCCCTGCAGCACCATGTACGTGTTCGGAGGCTTCAACAGCCTGCTGCTGAGCGACGTGCTGATGTTCACTCCTGCCAGCTGCTCGGCTTTCTCCAGCGACCAGGCCTGCCGCTCGGCCGGGCCGGGGATCCGGTGTCTGTGGAACAGCAGCACTCAGGCCTGCCTGCCCTGGGAGGCCGCCAGCGAGCCGGAGGAGCGCCGAATCCAGGCCAGCTGTCCTGCCAAAGCCTGTGAGTCCCAGCAGGGCTCCGTCTGACACCCGGCTGGCTCTCAAGCCTGCTATCGGGCGTAGGGTAAATTCTGAGTCCCGCTCCGGCGAAACTCTGTGGGTTTGTTTCTGCCAGGAAACCTCAGAACAAGCTGCAAAAACAGGTTTAAATGTGTATCGGAAAGCCAGAGAGAGAGGCAGAGACGAAAGTGGAGGCTGAAATAAGTAATAAGAGTTTTTTTTCAGTATTTCAACACAGAGTAAAAACAATGATCAAGTGTTTCAGAGATAAAATAGTGGATATGTTATATATTTTCATTATACTTTTATACATTTTGCTTTATAAGAAAAATGGGTGATGTATCAAATGTATACTTCAGTTAAGTTTTCATCAAGAAAGAAGGATGCAGCATGTCTGGGGCAAGACAAACTTCTGTATTAGTGTTTTAGTGCAAAAGAGGCAGAGGTTTGTTGTTGGTACTGGAAACTCTAAGATGCATCTCCAGGCCTGGTGGTATCCTACTAGTTGTACGGGCAAGTGAGGGGATCTAAAGACCACAAGTAAAACTCTTCCTGAAATCTGTCAATGTGGAGTGGTACTTACTGACTGGCAAGAAGCTTGTGTAGTGCCCATCCATGAATAGGCTATCAATATGAAGCCAAGTCATTATAAATAAGCTTGACTTCTATCACCTGTAACATTATGGAAACAGTCATTAGAAAGAAACTTGAAGATCATCTATATGGAAATCCTGTCTTAGTGGGTAAAGTTTAGAAAACATACATGTAGTTTAACTTATTTGTTAGAGGGCTTTAAACACGCAAATAGTTATTTAGAATTTTGGACGTTTTTTGATAATGCTCCCTATAACAGACTCTCAGGTTGCAGGTGGTAGGAATCGTACATAATACTTGCATTTTGTTTTAAGAACTCTTTCGTGAATGGCAAACAGATAAGGAGTGACCATTCATATTGGGATGGTGTAATCTGTGGAGTATCGCATTGATCTGCACTAGGGTCATTGCTCTTTCGAATGTGTATTGGTGGTCTCGATTTAGCTATAGTTAGCATTTGGAAACAGTAAAGTTTACTAATCTTCTATTTTGTGGTATCAAACATTGTAGAAGCTGCAGTGAAAATTACAAAAATATTTAGGTAGAATACATAGAAGAACTTACACATACTGTACCAGAGCTCCCATATGAACTGGGGAGGATGCATGTTAGGAGAGATTCCATGAGACTGCACCCCAGGAATTGAACCCAGGGCCCTAGTGCTGTGAGGCAGCAACACTAACCATTGCACAACTGTGCCCATCTATCACAGATCAAACAGCTACATTGGTCCAATGGCCTCCTCTTGTTTTACAAGTGGCTGAAACATGTTTTTATATAGAGTCTGCTGTTTATATTTTTAATTACAGAATCCTGGAAATTTCATTGACCAGGCCTTTTCTCTCCACAAAACAGCAGATACTAATCTACTTTGGAATGGAATGAAGAGATCATAGAACTATAAAACTGTTTTGACTTGTAATTCTGCTTTGCTACTGAGTGAGTGTTTCTCCTTCTGTCCTGTGTTGCCCAGATGCTGACAAAGAGAAGTGTGACCAGTACACAGACTGCTATAGTTGCACAGCCAACACCAACGGCTGCCAGTGGTGCGCAGACCAGTGCATCTCCATGAGCAACAACTGCACTGCGGCCTCGGTGAGTCTTGTGCTTTCACAAGCAGGGATTGTCCGGGAGAACGGACTTTATAAAGAGTGAAATGACAATCTCAGTCCGTAGGAGCTTTTGGGAAGGGAATATGAGCCTGGTTTTGCATTATTGTGAGTCTTGAGCACTAGCAAAGACTGCAGTCCCAGCTGAGGAAGTCGTTTCCAAGTCTTATGACCTCTAGTCATGCTTTGCCATCATATATAAGCCCCTTTGTAACACAGTGTCACACATAATTAATGCATAATAAAGGGATTGGCTTTTGACACAGTGCTTGCTGTAAATAACTGTAGGCATTTTAGAGAAATATGATTTTGTCCAGTACTTGGTTGAAAGTGTGTGCTGTAGAAATTTCATTTTAAAAAATTCACAGTTTATTTTAAGGTCACAATACTCTGCTTGTGCGTATGCTCTTTATTGTAAAGTAACACGAGTGATTTGAAATACACACCCACAGACATGTCTCTGTAAATTCCTTCCTAGAATGCAAAGTGCTGTGCCAGTCTTTGTCGTTGTCCCAGAGGGTGCTGGAAACGCTGTAGCTCAGTTCACTCCTTTCCTCCACAACAACATGATAACATAAAGGAGGCCATCCAGGCCATTTGATAAGATCACTTTATTGGCCGTATGCAATTTGTTGCATTAAGGAATTGTCTATACGTATACCCCAGCTTACTCTCCATGAGACACAGACTGGGAGAGAAGCTTGGGGTCAGAGTGCAGGGTCAGCCATTTCTACCGCGTCCCTGGAGCAGTTGGGTTTAAGGGCCTTGCTTAGGGCCCCAACGGAGTAGGATTCCTCTGCCCACCACGGGATTTGAACCAGCAAATTTCCAGACACAGGCTCAAATCCTTAGCCACAGAGCTACCTGTGCCACAGAGCCCTAATAGTTAGTAGCTAATTGATCCAAGGATCTCATCTAGCTTTTTTTTTTAAATGAATCCAAGGAATTTACTGTGACAGCTTTGAATGCTTTGTTCTTTTAAATGCTCGTTTTTTAAAATGCTCATGGATGTTGTTTTTTCTTGGTATCCTTAGTGTTGAGGATTTTGAATGCCTTTATCAGGTCCCCTTGTGTAAAGATTAAATTGCTGGGAGAATGTGAATCCTTCTATTTTAAGCAGCCAGTCGGGCTTGTGTAGAGTGCTAGAATAATGGTTGCTCCTAGGTTTGTGCCAGGGGCTCATGATGCATTTTTCAAAATGAACATTCAGGAAGGCACGTGTACAGTCAAGGTCTCCATTACCTGTGCTGCTGAAACTCTTTCTCCTTTGACATCACTTCCTGGGGAGCTGGAATAACCAGAGAGCCCCTCTCTCTTCCTTCTGCTCCTCTCTCTGCAGGCCCTCCTGCAGCCCCTCTCCCCCTGTGCAGCTGCCCCCTGCTCAACTCCTCCTGCCCACACTGTGCAGCTACCCCCTGCTCCACGCCTCTCTCTGCAGGGCCTCCTCCAGCCTTTTCGCTGCCCCTAGGCCAGGGGCTTTAACCCAAAGCCTCTCTTGGCTAACATCTCAAAGAACATTGCCAAATGCATTTTCGCCTTGCAAAGCCTTATAACTAGGAGTTTAATTCCTTTCCCTTTGTCTGTGTGTGCGGGTTTGTTTCGGCGTGCCTGCAAGCTGAACTCTTTCTGCTGCATTCCTCTCCAGGGTGCCATCGCAGAGTACGAGATGTGCCCGAAGGACAACCCTGAGTTCGTCTGCAACAAGAAGACCAGCTGTAAGAGCTGCGCCATGGACCACAACTGCCAATGGGAGCCGCGCAACCAGGAGTGCATCGCCCTGCCCGGTGAGCTCCACCTCTGCTCTTGCATCATTAACTATTAGAGTGAAGACCCGTGCACAATCCTGCAGCTACGAGTCCAGATCCCTCAGTGCTAGGTCTCAGTCCTGACTCTAACACCCTCCTGCTATGTCAGGATTTTTCAATTTTGTTCTGCTTTTATTCCCCGAATCTGTGCTCTTAGTGTACTCCGTAAGGTCCTGTAGATTTTGAGATTTAGATTGGGGATTCTCTTTCGTGTTTTAGAAAATATCTGCGGGGAGAACTGGCACTTGGTTGGCAACTCGTGCCTGAAGTTCACCACAACCAAGGACAGCTACGACAACGCCAAGCTGCAGTGCCGGAGCTACAACGCCGTGCTGGCGTCCCTCACGACGCAGAAGAAGGTGGAGTTTGTGCTGAAGGAGCTGCAGATCATGCATGTGTTGGTACGTGTTAGGGCTGGGGTTGTTGAAGAAAGGGTGTAAGGTCAGGGTTGTCATGGGTGAATGTCTGAACCACACTGTGAGCCCCTTCAGATTCCTCAGAAATTCACTTTTCTGCTTTTAACAGAATCCAACTCTTCTTGTGGACTGAGTGAAGAGGTGTATTCATGCCAGGGATAGACTGTGTTGGTAGTGCATCTGTTTTTTTTTTACCTTCACTTCAGCCTTCAGATTTACATCTTTTTAGTTCAGTACAGTATCTTGCTGTCGTGTTACCTTACACCAGAGAAACAAAAAGATTGTTCCCCTAAAATTCCTTGTTTTGTTAGTTAGGTATCAGGTGGCTTTAAAAGAGAACCTTTGTATTGTTTATTGTGGATATTAAAAGAAATAATGGGAAAAAATTATGTATTCCTTAAAAGATGGAAAATAAATAGATAAATAGCAGTAAGTATGGTATTTGGTGCCCGCCTACTAAGAGCAAGGCTTTGGGATTATCGGTGGTGCCTTCCCTTTATACCAGGATGCTTTGAAAACCTCTTTTCCATGTTTTCACTAAATTTCTTTTAAAGTGGTTGATGTCTATTAATCCAGATTTTATTACTAGAAGGCTTTTTCTTCAATTTGAAGTTTAGAACTGAGACCACAAAATGCTGCCACAGTCTGCATCAAATTGTGTTTGTATGAAGTGATATCTGTTGGATAATTTCTAAAAAGGGAAAGATAAATACTGAGAGAATTGCTTTAGAAGAAAAATCTTGCCAAATATTGAGCCCTGTATTTCACCTGTATTGCTCACAGAGAAGATTTAATTTTTATATTATCTTTTTAATAGAATTACTTAATATCGGGGAACACTTGTTAAAAATTATTATAAGGATAAAATTAGCATTTTTCATTTAAAAAAAAAAATTAAAACATATTTTTGTTTGAGGAGCAGGTATATGATGCAATTACTGCACTTTTTTTGTAGTAGCTCCATCTAGTATTAACCAGTGTTTAGGGGTGCACAGTCTTGCATTCTCAATTCATTTCCTTAGAAATGAAGAGAGAATTTGTTGTTGTTGAATCCATCCCCTATCAGTCCCACTCAGTTCCTGATTGTCTACACTACAGTAAGCACCAGGGTCTGCATTCTGCTCCGGGACTCGCGCACAGTGAGCAAGTGAGGATTTTTTCATGGAAATGTGATCTGGGAATGGAGGAGATAAAATAATGACCGGCTTGAAAATTCTTATTAAATTGCTACATCTCTTGAGGATGTACTGGAGTCCAGTCTTTTGTTGAGCAGTGGGGAGCTGTTCACCTGTAATACTGCAGAGAGTCCTGACTGGTAAGTGTACCTAGTGCTGCTGGGTCCTGACTGACTGATATGGTAACTGGACTTCTTTTACACAGTTCTTCTTGGAATCAGAGTTGGACTGTGGGTTTCTTTTATTATCTTAGGGATGTTTCATGAATTAAAATGTTGCTTTGATCAGGAACAGGCAGTGCCAGTAAATGTGGTTGCCAGATACTTGTCTTTCTTCTAATCAGCATTAATTGCGGTTGTACGTTTCACTCTACAGTGTGAAATAGTTGCATGAATTCCCGACTTTCACTTGGGAGGTTCAGAATAAAATATAAAGACTAGATGAAGTTGTTACATTTTTGATTTGTTGAAGAGTATGTTGCGGCAGAACTGTTGATATGAAAACAATAGTTTGGCCAAGCTTTGGCTAAAACAACTGAGAGGGATTTGGAGATTGACACTTCTGAATAGCTCATTGAAACATGGTTTACAGCAATGAAACAATGTGGGATGAGGTTATCAAAACAGGTCCAGCTAACAGGTTGGCGGAGCCTGTGATTGCTCAGGCAGTTCCTTCAAGCCAGCAGCTGGCTTTCAAGTGGATTGAAAACCTGTCAGCACGTCTCTCCAGGGCCAGCGAGCTGGCGCCCAGTCAGAGCAGAGGCAGCTGAGATTGTTTTGCTTTTGAGGTGATTTGACACACCAAGAAGAGGAAAGTTTTGTCAACAAAACATTTCCAGCAATGGAGTGGCAGGCAGAGATGTATGGGAGTAGACACTGTGACATCCACTAATGAGACACTAGTTACTTTGACCTGCACAGCTTTGAGGCACGTCTCCAGACCCCTTCCTCCTATCCAGTTTTGATGTTGAGCTAAGAAACTATGTGAAGGAAAAGGTAATGGCGAAGGCAGAGGTTTTTGGAGATTGCAACTTTGTGGTACCATTCCAGTACAGAGATGTCAGGAGTCCTGAGAGTATTGTAGAGCAGATAAAGTTAAGAATTAATACAGAGGGGTATATTCTGTCCATGGCCATGAATGCCTTTCACACTGGCAGTAGTGGTCTAGGAGTTAGGAAAGCAGTATTGTCTGGGGATCTGCACAAGATTTGTGTGCGATGAATCGTCCCTCGTTATCGTGGCTGTTCTTGTTTGAAAGAGCTGGGGGATGTGCGTGTGCTGATGACTGAGAGGTTGTCCCCTGTGCCCTGTGTCTCTGCAGTACAAGGCGACTGTGACGCCCTGGGTGGGTCTGCGCAAGATCAACATCTCGTACTGGTGTTGGGAGGACATGTCCCCCTTCACTAACACGTCCCTGCAGTGGCTGCCAGGGGAGCCCAGCGACGCCGGGTTCTGTGGGTACCTAGCCGAACCCTCGCCCAGCGGGCTGAAGGCGGCCACTTGCGTTAACTCCGTCAACGGCAGCCTGTGTGAGCGCCCAGGTGAGGCAGGCCCTGCGTCCTCGTCTCGTCCGGCCTCGGTCATGCTTCTGGGAGGAAATGGAAAATTGCAAAACCGTTTCACTTGGATGGAGGCTTGTTGTTTCCAATCCAAGCCTACTTTTCTTTTTTGTTTTCAAGTCCTCAAAAAGCATTTAATCTATTTATGTCTGGTGGTTCATGTTGGCAAATTCCTGCGTTCAGCGAGCAGTCAGTTCTAGAACATGCCAGCGCTTCAAACACACCGCAGATGAGCGAGGAAGTTAAAATGAAACAGTTAGCGGCAGGGCAGTGGTTCAGGAACAGTGTGCCATCCTGTGCCCCAGCCAGCCATCATGAAGATGAACGTCTGTGCTGCTTTCTTGCACAGTGTGTCTAATGAGCCAGATCTGTGTTTTCTGTCTCCCCTGCCAGCGAACCACAGCGCCAAGCAGTGCCGCACACCCTGCGCCCTGCGCTCTGCCTGCACGGAGTGCACCAGCAGCAGCTCGGAGTGCATGTGGTGCAGCAACATGAAGCAGTGCGTGGACTCCAATGCCTACGTGGCCTCCTTCCCCTTCGGCCAGTGCATGGAGTGGTACACCATGAACAGCTGTCCCCGTAAGACAGCCAGCAGCACACTGGCCTCCTTTTACTTACACTCAGAGCAGGACACTGCCGTTATATCCCACCTCTAAGGCCTCTCCTTTGCAGTATCCTGAATATTCAACAAACATAAAAAAAATAAGAAGTTCGGATGTCAGGTGCTTTTTATAAATCTACCACAGTATTTTGCATTGAGCTATAAACCGTTTTTAACTGTCCACAATGTAAAGGGACAGTTTTTGCATCCCCCTGTCCAGAATGATGTGGTTTTGTACAGTGTGAAGACCGACTTGAGCTGGGATGCCAGAGCATATCGGGAGGAGCTTTGTGCTTGAGTGCTGCTGTCATACCGTCAGCGATACGGCCTGTAGATGTGCATCCACTCCAGAATTCCTCTTTGGGACTGCGCGATTGTCAGAGTTTCTTTCCTGTTTCATTCAGAATGATCAAAATCAAAACAAATCTAGTGTGAAACAAAAAAGAACTGTGAGTTATACGGTATGGTGGTTTAGAACACGCTTTCACGGTGCGGTAATAGTGTGGTTCTAACCATTTACCAGTTTCTGAACTCTGCCCCTTCACACAGCCTCCTGAGCTACAGTCTCTCCTCTGTGTGTAATACAGTGCCATATGTTATGAGCTGCAGCTTGTTTGATATTGTTTCACACCACATTCAACCTTTAGCTCTGCCTCTTTACCGGGTCTTGAAGCAGAAGTATTAAAGGGACCTGTGTACCCTTTTGTGCAGGGGTCCTTGAGGGACCCCTAATGTCTGAAGATTTCATTTCCTGCTTCTGAGCTGGTAGTGTCTTGGTAAGAGTGTGGCCTGTTGGGAGTGGGTGTTGTGCCCTGTGTGCTGACGCTGTAACTCTCCTGTTGCAGCTGAGAACTGTTCTGGTTACCGGACCTGTGGGCAGTGCCTGGACCAGCCGGGCTGTGGCTGGTGCACAGATCCCAGTAACACGGGCAAGGGCCAGTGCATCGAGGGTTCCTACAGGGGGCCGTTCCAGCCCCCCAGCTCTGCCTCCTACCAGGAGCCTGCCCTCAACGTCACCATGTGCCCCTCAGAGAACAAGTACAACTGGTCCTTTATTCACTGCCCAGGTAAGGACATCCCCTGCAGGGCCTGATGCATGGCTCTCACTGCACTGACTAGAGTTCCAAGACTGGTCCTTGGTTTGGAGGTCCAGAGGACCAGAACAGTGCATTGCCTGCAAACGCCACTTACAGTGATTGTGCTCTGAATGTTGTAGATTGGTCAGTGCATGAGGCCTGTTTACTGCCCATTGCTTTGAAGTGGTACATCTGCCCCTCTTTTGTGACTTGGTCTGGTTATCGTGATGTAGCTGTGCAGAATGCCAGCATTCACTAACATAAGGTAAATTCAAATGAAGTTATGTCTTTGTTCCCTATGTTCTAAAGAGTTAAAGATACAACAAACAGGCCAGCCTCAGGTGTAGCCCTTGTACAGGAGAGTTTCCTCCCTGAGACGGGTGTACATCTGTGCAGGCGTTGACACGGCGGAATGGTTTCCAGCACCCTCTGTTTTCACACACCTGCGCCATCTGGGAGAGCTGTAGACTCTCTCGACCAGCTCACTGCAGAGCTGCGCCTGTGTGTTGAGGGCCTGGACTCAGACCTGGAGGGCCAAGGTGCTGCTGCTGTTGTACCCTGGAGCAAGTGCTAGGAGAAATGAGGAGAACTGGGATGGACGCTTGGAAAAAAGCATCAGCTGGATGTGGTGTAGTAACATACTGTAGTAGTAACTGGGGTGGCTGGTGTCTCCGTCTCTGAGAAGGCTTGGCATGAGCTCTCGGTCCGGTGCCACTCGCCCTATGCTTTATTACCATGGTTTGCTTCGGCAGCTGGGCATTGATGTAGAATACCCGCTAGCTGGCTCCTTGGTAAAAGTGAGGGTCAAATCCAGCATCAAAGGGTTTTGGGAAATGGTTTATGAAACCCAGCGAAGAGCTAAATGGCTTTTGAGGATCGCTCTAACGCGCCGTCTCCGTTTTGTTCATGGGTGTGGGCAGCCTGCCAGTGCAACGGGCACAGCAAGTGCGTCAACGAGAGCGCGTGCGAGAAGTGTGAGGACCTCACCACGGGCCGACACTGCGAGACGTGCATCTCTGGGTACTACGGAGACCCCACCAACGGGGGCACCTGCCAGCGTGAGTCGTTCTACCGCGATTGGTGTCAGTGCTTGTGCGGCTTGACCCCCAGGTCTTGGGGGAAGGCTGGGATGGGACGCCTGTCAGGGAGACCAGGTGGAGCTTTTCCCTCTGTGCCAGAATTTCCGTTCCAGTGCCCCAGCATGGTGACGGGTGACACTGCTGTAGGAGGCATCATTCTTATGAGATGAACAAGCACTCGGGGCCTCGCTTTAACATTAAAGATCCAATGGTGTTGTTGGTAAGAGGTTGAATTGTTCAGTCGGTGAAACAGTTTCTTGTTTCTCCACCGGACCTGTGTGCTCGGGGGCTGCTGGTGCCTCCGTCACACGGCTGAGGGCTCCCACTCGGGGGTGGATGAAGTGGGTCCCTCCTATATGTACAGTACAGTGGCTTTTGACTCCATTGGGATGAAAAGCATTACTTAAATGCAATTTTGATTAGTATTATTACAATGTTCAGCTCAAAGACGGGCATCAACGTATTTAGCAGGACAAACAGCAGTTGGAGACTTACAGGACCTTCCGAGCTCATTTCTTTGAGCTGTATAAACAGCATCGTTTAATTTCCTCTTTTCTGTATCTTGTATATGCACCTCATGTCAGCACTGTCTGAAGGAAGGGGATAGTTGGAGCTCCAGTCAGTGGAGTCACTGTAATGTCCACCAGCAGCACAGCCTTGGCTGCAGTGGTGCTGTATTTTCACCAGGCAATAACATTTGACTAAACTTGCGTTTTTGATCGCTAGATTATGGAACTTGAAAAGTTGAAAACTTGCAATAAAAATGTGAAATTCAAAACCTTATTCTTAACTGAGCTTGGTATGCCACTGACTGTTGAATCTGTGTGTTAATCAGTCCACTGTGTGTGATTTCAGCTTGCAAGTGTAACGGTCATGCCAGCATGTGTAACCCCCACAATGGGAAGTGCTTCTGCACCACCAAAGGGATCAAGGGAGATCGCTGTCACCTGTGAGTTCGCTGGCCTCCGAGGCTGTTTTTCTCTGCTGTCTTCTCCTTCTTGTCATTCATCTTCGTCTTCTTCGCCTGCCTGCCTGCGTGTGTGTGATCGGAGCTGCACCTCTGCCCTCAGAGGTGACCTGTGTGTTCCAGGGTCACACAGCTGATAGGAGACCTGGCCTGTTTAAAAAAGGCCCTCCCCCGTGCTTTCTAGAAAACAAAAGCAAAAAAAAATGTTTCAAGTTCCTTTAGCAAGGATATTTTTATTTCTGTGATGCTGGAGTTAATTTAAGCCTTGCTTTGACAGCTTCAGGGAGCTTGTTCTTTGTTATTCACAATAATTACGGTGTCCTGTGTGTGTGTTCGTGGATCTGACAGGGTACAATCTCGTTCTGCCAGATCCTTCCTCTCCTTTCTTCTCCGAGGTGTTGTGGTGTGCGCTGTCTTGCTGCGTCTTGTTTAATGTGCGCTGCCTGCCTGGCACTCGGAGAGTTTGTGAAGGCGCCTTGTCACACTGATTAACCGTCTGCCCGCTTCTGTCTGCTGCAGGTGTGAGGTAGAGAGCCGTTACCAAGGCAACCCCCTCAAAGGCACCTGCTATTGTGAGTATATGCAGCATTGAAAATGACCATTTGTCTACAGGTCCTGTTCAAGCCAGAAGTGCTGAGCTTTCAGAAAGCTGGTGAGAGTGGAGCTGCAGGTGGTCAGTGATTCTAATCTACAGGCAGGGGAGCGGCTGGACAGGAGGTTCAGGGCTCTTCACGATGGCAGGGCCTCCAGGTGTGAAGCAGAGTGTGCCAGTGTGTCAAGGAGCCTGTAGACTGATCGGTACACTGGCATTAACCTGGACCACAGTGTTTCCGCCTGCATTGGCTCAATTGTGAATCACAGAATTCTCAAACATGCTTAGGGCAGTGCAGGAAATGTATTGTTTCTTAAGGTAGTTACATGGTTGCTTTGGTTCTGCCTGTTAAATAGAATTACTGTTTACATTTGAAACAGAACTTTAGGAGTATATCTGCAATACTGTTGTAATGCTGTTTTTACTCTATTATTTTTATTTGATATTGCATTTTTTAGTGCTAATGTTTTACTTGATGCATTGCAAGTTTCTCATTAATCAAATTGGAAATTGGAGTGTTGCCTGTTTTGGAGACTTTTCTCCCATTCTTAAGGCTTTGACGTCAGTGATCCTGTGAGTTAGAGGTTCAGACAGCAATACCAGGAAAGATGCCAAAGCCTCTGAATGCCAGGGGGACCAGGGCCTTCTTGGAAAGTTGCGGTGCAGCCTCCTGCAAGAGAGAGCACCTTCCTCTTCGTAGTCCCTTACTCCTCTCTTCCTCGGGCTGGTGCTCTAATCCATGGTGCTTTGAAAGGTTGAGCTGTCTTCAGATCAATTTCCAATTCCTCCTTCCCCACCATGAAGCAGCAGTACAGCCAGCTGCTTTCAGAGCTTCCCAGCCCCATGTGCACTACCCGATGCACAAGCTCTGTGGTTTTGAAATCGCTGCCAAAGCGAAACAAAGTTAAAAATACAGAGACACAGCATTGTGAAGTTCCTGGAATCTGGGTAATATCTTTTCGCATTATTTTGTTCCAGTAATTCCTTACAAGATCCTCACTTGGATCTCCTTAGTGCATGTTGTTTCCTATACATAAGAATAAAACACATTCTTCCTTTTTTCCTGCAAAATCTGGCACTTCTCAGCACGGCCGGTATTTAGGTATCGCATTATGCTAATTAATAATAGATTGGCCTGGGAATAGCAGTTAAGTGTCTTTGTGTCTGCCTCTGTATACCGTGTATATAATCATGACTACCATCACTATTTTTAGTTTTTGTTTGGAGCAATTTTGAATCCTGTAGCCGTGACAGAGCGTCAATCTCTGGGGAAGCCCCTTTCATGGCTCACAAGGAGCACTTTATCTTCTAGTGCTGTCTCATGAGGCATTAGATTCACCCTTTAAGGGTTCAGACTCACAAAGCCACACGCCATTCGTGTAGTCCACCTGTCTGTGAGTGTGTACTCATAGTAACCCTGTCTCAGAGGAAACATCCCAGCCTACCAGCCAGGGCAGGGCCTTGATTGTTTTAAACTAATCAAAACGGTAATGGGGATTATAAATTAGAAAATTGAATGGGAATTGAATTGTTCAGACCATCATCCTCTGCTCTGTATAGCAGACAGTGCAGCCTCCTTTGCAGATATCCTGGCTTGTGCCCTGTGAACGGGTCACTCTGCCAGTGTCAGTGTGGCAGGTGTGCTGTCAGACCAATTATCTGCCTTCTTTCCAGAATGGGTGGCAGCAATATCACCTGCTTGTAGCCTGATCTCATCTCAGCTTAATGGCTTAGGAAAGTGGGACTAATCGGTACTGGTAAGCATTTGCCAGTGGCATTGTTGGACCAGCAGGGGGCACTCTTCCCTTGTACTAGAATCTCCACACCAATGTCCCAATATGGTGTCTGGGGACATTGTATTATGGGGGTACTGTTTTGTGGATTGAATGTAAACTAAGAACCTGATCACTTGGTCATTTAAAAGTCTCATGGCACTGGCCATGATATAAGGAGCAGGAACCCTGGTGCCTCCTGGCTAGTACGAGCTGCTGTGCCCGAGTGCCATGACTGACTGGGCTGCCTGGATCCTGGTCTTTGACTTGAAGGTATGCAGGGCCTCTGTGCTGACGTCCTGTCTGTTCTGTGTGCATGCAGATACCCTGCTCATCGATTACCAGTTCACCTTCAGCCTGTCCCAAGAGGATGATCGCTACTACACGGCCATTAACTTTGTTGCCACACCGGAGGAGGTAAGTCTGTCTGCTGAACTGCTTTCTTTTTCACTTGTCCCTCTGTTGCTGCTGCGTGCATTTCAAATCGGGATCTTCCTGCTGTGAATTTCTGTGTTCAGCACATTCCTTTCAGCAGTAAAGGGTTTTGGTGTTTTTCCTCTGCACTTCGAGGAGTCATTATGAGAGCTGTCTCCCCGAGTGTGCAACACAAAAAAAAATGTAAACAGGTCACAGCCACCAATGGCTTCTGTGTATTCTGCCCCCCCTGGTCAATGATGCAGACTGTCTTGGTAGCTTGCTCAGTTCTTCCGAGCCTGTGGCTTCTCTGCAGTGCAGCAGGGCTGGTCGCTGTGTATTTTTGCTGGCAGCCACGTTGGAGATGCACTTCTGTGTCCTCTCTTGGGGCTCCTCCTGCCCAGGAGACCTGCAGGTGTTGCTGAGGGACCCTGACCGGCCTGGCAGGGCATACCGCTCCATGAACGTATGGTGCCCCGTTATAAAGAGGCAGAGTTAGGGGCTAAATCATTCATGTGATTCCTGGTTTGGATGTGCTTGCACTTTTTCCAGAGCTAGCTGTGCTCCGGACTAGTTATGTATCATCCTGACAGGAGCTGTAACTGCTTGCAGGAAATACTCATGATTTTCCAGGCTAATGTATGTTTTTTTCTGTAAAAAAAACACTAAATTGAGAAAGGATACAAAAACAAATAGCTGTATGAGCTGTTCATTATGTCATAACAATGTAATCACTGATTAAAACGCAGAAGGATTCACCTGGAAGTTTAGCAGTTTTGTCCTTGTTAGGGTAACTTTGATTCATGAAATAGCTTCCTTTGTTTGAAAGACATGTACCATAAAGCACTTTGTGAAAACCTTTCCCGATAGCTACATGTACTGCATTCAGTGTATACCACTCTATATTTATCTACATTTTAATGTCATTGCCAGGTTTTTAAAATATCTTCTCTTTTGATCTTCTAGCAAAATCGGGACCTGGACATGTTCATCAATGCATCAAAGAACTTCAATCTCAACATTACTTGGGCGACCAGTTTTGCAGGTAAAGATGGCTGTGAGCCATTGGCCATGGGAGCTCTTTCCATGAGCTGTCAAATCATCTAATTAACAGTTTAATTACTTAGTTCTTAATTACAAAATTGTCCCTGGTTGCTTTGTTAATTCCAAATTTGCATAAATGGTGACTTTGTGCAGGATTCATCACAGGCTCACAGTGCTCACGGGGCAGGAGAAGCCCCCTGTCTTACCTCACCTTCTTTCTGCTCCTTCCACAGCTGGCACACAGGCAGGTGAGGAGATCCCCATAGTCTCCAGGAGCAACATCAAGGAATACAAGGACAGTTTCTCCAACGAGAAGTTCGACTTCCGCAACAATCCCAATATTACCTTCTTTGTGTATGTCAGCAACTTCACCTGGCCAATTAAAATCCAGGTGAGCATGTCTCAATTTCGCAAATGAATCTCCTGTTGCAATTGTCGCACCTGCGGTATCAGCACAGAGCCAGTGTGTGCATGAATGGCGTTCATGATTAAGTACGCTAGTGAAACGTGCCAGCTTGCTGCAGTTATATCAGCCTGTCTCTGGGTGACATATACAGGTATCTAACCATGCTTGAGCAAGCTAGCGATCTTTTATTGGTAACTGTACTTTTAGTGAAATAAAAAACTAGTGTCACGTGTCTACTATTCTGCATTAGTTCAACCAGGAAGTGAGCCCAAAAAACACATCCTGAAATGAGATGGGTTCAAAACCCTTTTAGACTGAGTTAAAAGCACATCCTTATAATGCATCTTAAATATTGTTTCAACTGCAGAGGAATAGAAAGAAGGTAAATTACATTGTTTTGAGGGAATGAGTTAAAATAGAAATATAGTCCATCACTTTGAACAGGATTAAACTGACACTGTATTTGAAAAATAAATATGGCTTTTTGAAACCACTGTTTACAATCAAAGCTAATTGTTATTAGTTCAGCATGCACATTTTACTGATATAAAGAAACATAATTCATTAGGAGTAATAAAATTTGTTTCTGCATACTTTAAATCTTGGTTTAACTACTTCTGGAGCTTAATTTAAATCACACCGAAATGTACTCCAAAAACCATTCGGAGATGCTCAATGTTGGCACTGTCCCAGTGTATCTCCTGCTGTGGTTGGGACCGGTGGGCAGGGCTTGTCATAGCTGAATGTTAGTAATCTTGAATGGAGTTCAGAAAAGTGAAAAATGAAAAATGACTTGTGTGGAAGCTTTGAGTTCTTTCTGGAGTTTTGAGTGACGAGTTCTCCTCGTCCCCCTTACCTGTGATCTGTTAGGTTAATCGGAAGGTGTCGGGAAGCTGAGGGCCAAAAGTGTAGATGGCAGAGAGGCCTCCAGTGTTCTGAAGTGTGTGCGTCTGTGACATTTTAAAATTACTTTTAACAGCATCCAGTCAAGAGGAGTTACAAGAGGAGTTAAGAAATCAGCCTTTCTTAATATCCATGTCTCCCTTCCCATCGTCTCCGGCAGCAAATCTCTAAATGTAAGAATCAATATGTTCCAAAGGTTTTAATGGAGCGTTATGGTCTATATTTAGACTGTAACACTGGGCGCAAGAAAGTCTTTGAACTGGAAGATTTTAAAGACAACTGGTGCGCACTCCTTTTAGTGTGAAATACCACTCTGCAGTTTTACACTGTACTGTTAGCTATGATATTAATGAGAGAAAAATCTGATAACTAACATCTTGCATCTGGTGTCTTTATAAGCAGATGTTGAGATTCCTCTCAGCAGGCATAGTTTCTTTAAGGCTTTTGCAAATGTGTTAGCAATGCGAAATCTTGGGGTTTACACTGCATTGCCCAGGGCAAAGTGTTGTAGTAAGGAGGACTACACATGCAGTGTTGCATCCAAGCTGTTGGCCCAGCCTTGCAGTGCATTGTGTGAGAGCTGGCAGATCTCATCCTGCTTGGTGCTCTGCTGGCTATCCTTCTGCTGAGAGAAAACAACTGGCATTTATGTACAGTAGAAATGTACCTGATGTCTCTCAATGCCTCACCAGAATGGCTCTGCCACCATTTGATCTTCCCAGTAAAACTGCGTGCATGACAGGGCTGTTTTTTGTGCATAACTTTCTTTGCAGATGTCCTTGAGTCCTAGAACAATGATCATCCTCTTCCTTAGACAATGCCATGTGTCATGGCCTTAGGGCTTACAACTATCAGAGACCTCTACATTGTCTCCATAAATTGTCTTAAGCTGAACTTTATTGGAAAAAACTGAGATAGGACTAGGTTTTGAAATGGGAAACACAAAAGCCATGTTTTTTTTATTTATTTTGGTAACTCAATTGAGAACAACTTCTCATTTACACTGTTAACCCGGAGTCCCTGTTCTGCAACAGGGTGTGTAACTTGAGCAGTCTGGGTCAAGTACCCAGGAGAAGGGTAAAACAACTAACCTTCCAGTGATTCAGAAGAAGTTTGCTTTGCTTAAACTGAGAGCTTGCATTCTGTAAGCTGTGTTTGCAAATTCAGAAATGAAGGAGAGTGACACATGTGTTAAATAATTCTTTGTGTTAAAGTGTCTGTCTGACACCTGTCAAGAAAAGCTACACACAACACCTTTTCTGCAAGGAGGGCAGATTGATCTTGTAAAGAGAATCAAGCCTGGTACTATATTGGTGGAAATGAATGTTGGAAGCTATGAAAACAAGTTGCTAGCATGTTGCAGCCCAACAATTACAGTTCCCTCTGTTGAATCTGGCAGCCCGATGATTGCACTGTTGAACTACTATGTCCAACAGAGGCGTTTCTGCTGAGCTGTTAGGATTGAGTTCCTTGGCTGTGAGATGTAAAGAATCTGATTTACCATTAGTGTTCCTGAGTTTCCTGACCTGAACTGAACCCAGTACCAGTATGAGGGACTAGAGCACTAGTGTTCACTGATAAAACCTCTTGCTCCAACAAAATTGCAACTGCATGGGCTGGGCCTGTGTTCTTTAGCTATAATGGTAAATGTATTTTCTGGATGCCTCTCTGCTGGATGTCCTCACAATATTGAATGTAACGGGGTACCACAGATAGGAATTTGACCTGTTGGTTTTTGTGCTCTTCCTAGATGTTTTCTGAAACGTACCATTCAAAAGCATTCAAACATATTGTGAACAAGGAGGGGAGGGTGTATTGTTGTTCAACTACAAATACATCCCCCAAAAACAAGAGAAAAGCCTATTTTTGTCAATTGCTTATTGTATTGTTGTTCAACTACAAATACATCCCCCAAAAAGAAGAGAATAGCCTATTTTTGTCAATTGCTTATTAAAGCAAATACCATGGCATAGAAATATCTTAACAGCAGATGTTTAACACCATGAGTATTTCTTAGCATTGTTACAGATACAGTACTTTGTGATTTCTACAGGCATTATGTAAAACAGGAGCGTAGAAAGCTGACCGTTTGACAAGCAGGCTGATTGTCTAGCCTTGGAATACCTTTCAATAAAAACAATTTTATAAATTTTTAGAAATGAACTATTCTTGCCAGCAAATGATGGATGTTTGCTTTGAGGTCCATTCACATCCTCTTGTGTATAACTTTCTTTTGTTCTTGGGTTTTTTAGACACTGACTGTCTTCAATTTGAATAAAGGGAGCAGTAACAGACACAGTGCTTGTTATTTTTTTCTTTCTGAATGTGAAATACTCTAAATACTTCCCCCTACGCTTTTGGCATGCTTGAGAGAGTGTATGTGATACGAATGAAGTGTGAATGATACTTACCCTTTTTGTTGTTTCCCTAAAATCAATGCAGTGTTTCCCCCAGTGGAGTATTGTATTGTGTTGCGTTGATCAAGATGGCCACCAGACACCTTTCCTGTTTGTAGTATCACACAAATGATCTTAAAGGGAAAGGTTACTGGTGAGCCATCTATAAATAACCGATGTAAGGTTAGGTGTTTTGTTTAAGTGAATATATCACGGTTGCATGACTCTGTTAAAATTTAAAAGGTTTTTTCGGATGGTTGAATACTTTATTTTGATCAATCTGCCCATCTCTGTTAAGAAAATGTGAGCGAGTCCCTTTCAGAGGATGGTCCTTAGAAGAGGAGGGGCTGTAAAAGGGATTGGGAGAGTTCAGTATGGAAGAGGGTGCCTTGGAGGAAAGGTGTGGAGAGTACTCCTATTTTTTTGGCAATAAATCCACTTTTTTTTGCATTTGAAGACTGCTTGTGGGAGTTTGGCTTGACACACCTTCTTACCTTTTACCAAGGAAACACAGACTTCTTGCTGGTTACCAACCTTGAGCACATTTGATCCATGGCTACTGGTCCTTTCTGGCCTTGAGGTCTGGGATCTGAGACAAGGAGAAGTTTTGTATTCTTTTTAATACAGTACCTACACTATGGCAGTGTCCCAATGTATGGGAGGCATCTAATTCAAGTGTGCTCGAAAAACATTGTACCTCTGAGCAAGTGGACAAAAGGTCAGCTTTTTTACCCTTATGGTGTCCCTGTGAGTCCTAACAGTGTTGCACATTTTATAATGCGTGATCTTGATTGCAGGTGCCCTTTTCATTTGTGTTCTGTATACATGATTCTGGTCCTTGAAACTTTAGCTTATGTGACATTGGTATGAATGTATTTATAGGTAGATGTTTAACCTCTATGCGTCCCTGTTTGAGCATCTGAAGACTCACCTCCTGCAGGCAGATGTTTCAAACACATCGACCTTCTTACCTTTCCCAGTAGTCCCCTGACTACTTCCTGGTTCAATCCCTACATCCCAAAACCTATATATATGAATAGACTGCTGTTTATTCTGAGTCATTGAGTTGCCTTTAAATCCATTTCCACAGTGCATTGTCACCTTGCTTTTATAGAACTGGAAAGGTATAAACCTCTGCCAAGGAATGAATGATTCCTGCTGTACCCAGAATCTTGAGAAAACGAGTTTGGAGGGTTGGGGTGTCCTGGCCTTGGCTTGAGCTATGCTTTGAGTGGAGGTCTGTGCGTCAGATGAATGTTTTATCTGAGAACACTGATTTGCACTCTAAATGGGTTGATATAGCTGGTGTGATTAGGAGAACAGTGGGAAACTGAGGCTGTGAATGGGCTTTTGTTTCCTTTGAGCCACATTTTTGAAAGTGTTTGTTTATTTATGTAGTTTATTTAGCTGCCGCGGGGGCTCTTGGCTTCTCCACAAGCCACACTGCATGTGGGCAGACAAGAGCTGACAGTGACACCCCGCTGACTAGGACAGTGACACCCCGCGGACAGTGACACCCCACTGACGGGACACCCCCCTGCTGACTGGGACAACCCCCCGCTGACAGTGACGCCCCACTGACCGGGACACCCCCCCGCGTGATGCCCCGCTTGACAAGGACCGCGGAGCGGGACAGCCCACAGATCCTGCACAGGATTATGTGGCAGAGTAGCTGGTGCAGCTTCAGTCTCGACAAAATAAAATCCTTTGAGGTGAATATAAACACGTGTACAGTATATAAAATGATGTTTTTCCAAGTCTTCAGATGTTCACTCTAAAACGTGACTGCATTCCCTGGCTTTGTTGAAGTGTGTAAAACATTTCTGCGTTTTTTGTTTCTTTTTGGTTGTCTGAATGTCTAGAATGCTTCAGTGTTGGCCTTGCTTCCTGTTTCTGCTTTTCATTCCAACTTCTAGGCAGCTCTCCCCTCTCCACAGCTGTGGCTTTGTCTCACTGTCTGCACCACCTTTTGTGTGTGTTTCAGTAGCGCTTTGCTGCGCGTGCAGACGCTTCTGTAGTCCTGTAACAGTTCTGTACCTGTACGCTCATGTTGTATAAGTCTTTGTGGTATTTTGTGGAGCGTTTTTCCAGTGTTCAGACCAGAAGATGGAGAGCTGACAGTAACACAGCGGCTCACAAGTGAGTTCTGCTGTCTTTGCTTAAGAACATAAATACATCGTAGTCTTCAACTTAAGCCACGGGTTCAGCAACTTCCTGGTCCAGCAGATATGTACATTGGGAGGTGTCTGGTGTAGATGCGCCGAGTACTGGTGGAGGAGGGGACTGGTTGTGCAGTGAAGAGGAATCACTGGGAGGAGCTGAGACAGTGGACAGTGACTCGCTTAAGACCAGTGGACAGAAACATACAGCCTGTTTTCAGATCAGCACTTGGTAAGGAGGTCCCGCGGTTGGTCAGATGGGCCCTAAAGAAATGCAGGAAAAGGGAGTGAGCAATGTCTCTGGTTTTCAGGACTCATAGAGAAAGAGTCTTTATTATCCCCAAGGGGGCTATTAGTTTTACAACAGCAGTGTTGACATACAGTAATTGTAATAGTAGTAGTAATGGTAACACTTTAAAGGCAGAAAAGTGTATCAGGATGCTGTTATCAAGCTATCTGGATCCTCGTGTATATGTTAGGAGTTTCAATAAAACTAAAGAGTTTAAATAAAACTGTAGTTTGTGAGTGTAGGGTGCCCAGGCAGCCCGTACGCAGCCAGGAGGGGGTTGGAAAGGTACTGTAGGGATGTTGACTGGGGTAGCCTAGGGTCAGAGAATGTGTGGAGATGGAGAGAAGGGGCTTTACTGAAGCTGCTCTTCCAGCCAGGAAAGCATTTGGTTATTAAAAAAACATCAGAATAGCTAATTAGCCCACCTCTTGCTCCATCCTGTCTGCATGCCGGCCTCCTTCCTAGTCCGCTGTACTGCATGTGAAGCACTGCGACATTCCCAGCCTTGGAACAGCAGCTCTCTGTAATGGGTGCCAGACCCAGGTAATAAAATGTTCTTTGCTGAAAAGTGAGATCCAGCCACTGGCCCCAGATCAGAGGGCGTGAGGGTGTGTGTGTGTGCGTGGGAGCGCGTGTGTTTTCGCTGTGAGTCTCGGGTGCGGCGCAGACTGACGAGGCAGAGCCCTGCCTCTGCTCCTCTGGAAGAGGTCTGGCCCTCGCCGAGCTCCCTCCCTTTCCCCAGCCTGCCTTCAGCCAGCCGCAGGGCTCGCTCAGCGTCTTCATGGCGCTCGTGTGACATCTGCGCTCTACACGGGACTCCTCTGGAGAGGGCTGCTGTTGTCTTTTCACACCTTGCCTGCTTTTATTTATAACTGGATTGTGTTCAGCAACTTACAGTCAATAAGGTAATTCTTCGAATGTTTTATTTTTGGATGTTTTTGGTGTGAAGGGTAGCTCTGTTTCTCAACTGTTGCCTTGTCAGAAGTTAAGCACACCTCAAAACAGTGCAGCAGTGAGTGTCAGCAGTGTTGCATTGAAGACATTAAAAGTAAATAAGAGACTCGGAGTTAGCCATAGTTGGGCTTAGCGTGCTCCTGTGATATGAGCAGGCTGGCTTGTAGCTGTGTATCAGGAGAAAATCTTACAGCAGCTGCTTCAGCATCTGCCTGATTGGGTGAAAAGACTTTTTAGTTCAACTTTAGGTCATGGCAGATTAACCACCGACAGGATGCCTTGTCCATGGTGCCCTGTGTGTCCCAGCGAGCTTTGCTCTGTGGCCTATACCCTGGCTGGAACCAGTACCTGCGGCGTCCTGTGGCCAGGTGTGCTGGGGAGGTCGGCGGGCGCCCTGGCTCCCGATGAGATGCAGAGCGGGGCCGCAGCGAGCTGCTTGTCCGTGAGGTTTTCGCAAGGAGTCCCAGCGGCCTGGACTCTGTCTTACCCTGGGAACCAGCGGTGTGAATGAAAAAAATAGTGTTGAAGCGCAGGGGAGCGTAGTTACTGAGCGAACGGGACAGCACACATCGGGAGCTTCACCTGTTAACTGCACCTCCATGTGGTCTCTGGTATCACTGTGGCGTGTTTTATTTTTTGGTTGTTAACAGCATAGATTACCAGTTATTAGTCATTAGAAATTCAAAACATAAGTAATAAAAACAATAAGAGTTACTGTAAAAGCATCGTTCAGGTTCCCATGACGGAGTCGTGGGGAGTGAAGTAATTAATATTGTCTGTTATGACAAGTGGTTGAGTGCAGCGACAGTCGCTTCTTTTCACTGATTACGTTATGCTAGAACAGCTCTGGGAGATTCTCCATCTTTTTATTGTTTGAAAAGACTAATTGAAATCGGGATCAATTAGATTTGGGGTGACGGGAACCATGGTAAGACTGAAGTTGTGCTGATTTCATTCAATCCTAGCTCTAAGCGCAGAGTGGACTGCTTCATAAAAAAAATGGCTACAAATAGTTTAAGACTTAAATAGAAAATGATCTTCAAATATGGCATTGATTATTTAACACTTTTTACACCTCCGAGTTAAAATAATTACTGTGTAGGTGTAGTGATGAGAAACATGTGCTGGGTGCCGATCATGGACTGACAAGCCAGCATGGGGAGCAGAGGAAGGGAATGGGTTCGATGTGCCTTTTTCAGGCCTCCCAGGCAGCTTGAGGGCAGGATGGGCACTGTGTTTTGGCATTCCCAGGTTCAAATCCAGGCTATTCCACTGCCGGACCAGGTCTGGAAGTACTGCCTTAGGGGCCAAAAGATTGCCGCCTTCCGGGACCCTGGCTTGCTGGGAGGTCGTCTGGCAGGTTGTGAGAAGCCTTCAGGTGAGAAAGGTTGTGGTAGTCTTCAGGTCTGCTTGCCCCCAGGGGTGGCAGCGCAGTGCAAGGAGAAGAAGCCAGACATCCGGACTCCTGGCATGTTGCCTGGCACCTCAGGAGTCGTGT